GATAGATCAGTGGTTTGAGAGCACTGTGGGGAGGACGCAGTTAGGGGTCATGTCTAAGGGTTTCTTTGGAGGAAGATGAAAATATTCTGAAACTAACTTTGGTGATTGTTTTACTACTCACAGTACCCTGAAGGTCCTGAGTTGTGCCCTTCAGGTGAGTGAATTGCAGGGCACGTGACTGGGACCTCAGTCAGGCTATGGAATCGTCGTCAGTTCATTCCAGAAGACGAAGCAGGGGAGAGAGTGGTGGTATCCACCACTGCAGGTGTCCACGAAGCGAGGGTGCAATCTTGGAATTAAGTGGACTAGAAAGGAAATATTCCAGAGACTTCTTTTTAATAGGTTAAGCTGACTGAGCCAGGCGCAGTGGCTCATGCCTGTAATTCCAGCACTTTGGGAGGCCAAGGTGGGTGGGTCATGAGGTTAAGAGTTTGAGACCAGCCTGGGCAACATAGTGAAACCTCGTCTGTACTAAAAATATTTAAAAACTGGCGGGGTGTGGTGGCAGGCATCTGTAAAACCAGCAACTTGGGAGGCTGAGGCAGGAGAATCGCTGGAACCCAGGAGGCAGAGGTTGCTGTGAGCTGAGATCACGCCATTGCACTCCAGCCTGGGCAGCAGTGTGAGACTCTGTCTCAAAAAAAAGAGGTTAAACTGATCGCGTATAGCAATGGATAGTGTAGACCAGGGGCCCCCAGCCTTCATGCCTGGACCCGTACTGGTCGTGGCCCATTAGGAAACTGGGCCACACAGCAGGAGGTCAGGAGGTGAGCAGGGGCGAGCGAGCATTCCCTCCTGAGTCCCACCTCCTGGCAGATCAGCAGTGACATTCGGTTCTCAGAGGAGCTCCAACCCTCTTGTGCACTGCATATGCGAAGGATCCAGGCTGCGTGCTCCTTATGAGAATCTAGTGCCTGATGACCTGAGGTGGAACGGTTTCATTCCAAAACCACACTACCTCACACTGTGGAAAAACTGTCTTCCATGAAGCCAGTCCCTGGTGGCAAAAAGGTTGGGGACTGCGGGTGCAGTGACTCCCAAGGCCTCCACTCATAACGCCAGTCCCAGAGTTTGGAGTTACAAGCAAGACTGACCTCAAATGACCACAGCTGGCTGTGGCCGTGTCAGCAGGCGTTGGGGAGGTGGGTCCCCAGCAGAGGACCGACACCCCCCAGGAGGAGGGGCTGCCCCTGGGCCCCCTTCCTAAGACACTGGTGGTTGCCTTTGCAAGGAATTTTCTGGTTGCTGGCTCTCTCCATGCTTACTGTTGGTAGGTGATATACAACTACGTCAGACCCTCCAGGACCCTCCCATCTATGTGGGATCAAACCTGGGCTTCCACCTGGCTGACACCCTGGCCACGCCCTGGCCTCCTTCCAACCTCAGCCTCCTTCACCCACTTGGTGGCCTCTCCAGCCTCCACCCTGTCCTCAACACGCCACACTCCTTCCCACCTCAGGGCCTTTGCACTGGCTGCTTCTGTGCTGCAGTGTTTCTGTGACAGCCCGCAGCCCTCCCAGCCAGCCTCTCTGAGCCCACGTCAAACGCGGGTGGGATGGTCCAAGCTCCAGGTTTGGCTGCCACTGCTGGTCAGGGACCACACTGGAGGCTGGAGAGGCAGTAGATGTGAGCGTGGGCGGTGAGAGGGAGCAGGGCCTGTCAGGGTCAGACACAGTCTTCTCTCCTGTCCTGTGGCGCGGACCGTGTCCTCCGAGCCTGTGATGAACATGGGTCGGTCAGTTCCGGAGAGTCAGGCGTCGCTTTGCGGCGGGGTGTGTTCTGAGAAAGGTGTCCGTGGACGACTGTGTCATTGTGTGAAAATCACAGGTGCATTTCCACCAGCTAGGACGGTCCTGCTGCCGCCACAGGGTGTGGCAGTGTACCCAGCTCATGGACCTGTGCTACGCGGCGCTGTGCTGAACTGCACGGGTGGCTGTAACGCAACAGTGAGATTTGTGTATCGCAACACAGAACAGCTATGGCAAAAATAAGGCCCGGCCATCTCACGGGGCCACTGTCAGGTATAAGGCCTGTCACTGACCCACGCACGGCCGTGCAGCCCAGGCCCGCAGTTCCTCAGCGAGGGCCCGTGTGTGTGTGTCCGGTGTGTGCTCTGCTCCGAGGGCTGATGAATAGAATTCTCAGGATTTCTGTCCAACATAGTAGGTGCTCCGCTAGTAACTGAATTCCCATGATTTCCGTCCAAAGGAGGTGCTCTGTTGGTTGTGGGTAACCTCCCACATGGGCACTGAGGAAGGACAGCTGTGCAAACCCCAGGCACGATTAGTGCCTGAAGAACATCCTAGTCTACAGTGTTATTACTCAGCTGTTTCCTTCTATAATCCTTTATATATAATCACGTATTAGTTTGTAGTCAGAACAATTAGTGCCTGAAGTATAACTTACTGCTCACATATATCTAGCCTATATCATCATACTTAGTACTTATATCTAGCATACTTAGTTCCATATAATCTTTCTATGTAGCATATAAATATCGTAGTCTATATAATCATATATATTCTATATAATCATATGGGTATTGTAGTCGGAGCTGTACTGACACATTTAGTGCTGATTTATAGAATCCTTCTGTATAACCATATAGTAGTTTGTAGTAGGAGGACTCCCTAGAGCAGTCACAGAACAGAAGCAGCACATGGGAAAACAGCCAGACCAGGACAAGAACCAAAGACCCAGGCGGTGGCGTCCCTGCCTGAAAGGGCATACGCTGTATGGCAGGCTTGGAGCAAGAGCCTCTCCTCCTGATAAAGGAGTTGTAATACCTTGCATCCAGTTCCTGTGGAAAGTCGGCCTCAGGCCTGAGATCCTGCAAATAACCGAGGGAGAAGAACCCCTCTGGTGTGACCAGTCACGCGGCTGTACACCCTGTCAGTCTTTTCTCACTTCTGTACTAGCTCAAATCCTCCTCCCATAAATATCTTAAGAGAAGAGCACAAGTGTGTCAGCTCCCACTGCATTGGCTTACAGTATCCTTCTATTAGGAATCCTTTGAAGTCTCCAGCCCCCAGATAAGAAGTGTTGCACACGACACCTGTTGCACACAGCCCACCTCCTTGCCTCAGTGACCTAATGGGGGTGGACCCCTTTTCTGTACACAGCCCTCTACTACTGTGCATGGCACGGCCCCCTACTGCGCGCAGCCCACCTCTCTGCCCAGGTGACCTAATGGGGCGGCCCCCTCGCTTGTGACCCACGTGATTAGGTATGCCCTATCACCAAGCCTGTAGATGACGACCTCACTCACGACCCTTCCCCCGGCTTGTACCTAATAAATACAGACGCTTCTAGAATTTTGGGGCCTCACCTGGCTCTGCTTATAGGTGGCGTGGCCCCTGGAACCCAGCTGCCCTTCTCCTGTAGTCTGGCACAGGTCTGTCTCCAAAGGCCCAGCTTCTCAATGCCACCGCATCGGGGATTACGTTTCCACATGAATTCTGGAGGTGGTGCATTGAAACTGCGGCAGCCACCATCAACACAAGCCAGGTGCCTGGTGTCTCCATCACCCCAAAGGCCCCCACGGGAGCTTTCACCCCTTCCCACACCCCGTTCCATGAGGCTGCTCTTCTGGTAACTCGAGTGATTCCACCATCCCAGAACACTTGAAAGCTGCTACCCTTACCATCTGTCTACCTCACCAAAGTAAACATCTGTTGATGACGCTGCAGGTGCGTTCTTAGGATTAAAAAGGAGGGGAGCACACGTGGAGAACGCTGTGGGTGAGCACGGACTCGGGAGATCCTTTTCTATCATTTGCTGTTGCCACATGGGGTCCCTGGAAGCTTCTCATCAGGATGTGAACTGGCTGGGAAAAAGGACGTTTGCAGATGTGGCCAAATGAAGACTCTTGAGGTGGGAGAGTGTCCTGGGTCCTCCTGGTGGGCTCTAAATGCCATCACGAGTGTCCGTAGAGGAGGAGGCAGAGAAGCCTCAACACAGAGAGAAGGCCACGGAGGGACACAGGAAGGGCGAGTTTCAGATGTGGCCGTGTGTCCTGGGCAATTCAACAGCAGGCCAAGGATTGGAAGCAGAGGCAGAGCCAGGAGGAGGAGGAGGAGGGGTCCTCCCTGGGGTCTTTGAGGGGGTCGGACCCACACCTTGGGCTTGGACTTCTGCCTCCAGAAGCGTGAGACAAGAAGTTTCTGGTGTAAGCCCCCAGTTTCCCAGGACTTCTAACAGTGTAAATAGGAAACCATGTGTTCTCATCTTTAAATTATTACCCCTTTAGAATTCTTGGAATCTTAGCAGCATCAGGGCCAAGTGGGCTTCAACTCTTCTTGACTGTCCTTGAATAACCCTGTCAAGTTTCGTTGGAAAAAAAAAATGTAGTTGCACTCAATTTGCAAATTAATTAAGGGATGTTCATAATACTTCAGAGGTGAAGTGAATACATTCTGTGCTCATGTTTAAGCTCCGTCTTTCTTGGGGCTCTGAGGCACGGGTGTGCGTGGTTATCGTGCCCTTCCTGGGCACTGAAGACCAAGACTCACAGGCAGCAACCCTGGGGCCCAGAGAGGTGAAAAACGTTCCCAGTTTCACAATGACAAAATGCTGTGGGGCTGAGCATCGCATCCAGCCACCCGGTTCCAGGCCACATTGTTCCCTGGGAGTACCTGGTGTAATTCTACGTGGTGTAATTCTACAATAATGAAAACAGCTCCACGCTGTTCTCTGGGAGGGCGCGGTGTAATTCTACAGTAACGAAAACAGTGGGAAGCAGCAATCCCCATCCAGCCTGAGAGCCTCACAGCATTTTGTGACTTTGTGAGAAGGGTCAAGACTGTTGGTCACAAGGTCTCAGGGAACCCGAGGCGTCGCTCCTCCACAGTCACACTCCAGCCCCCATCGCTGGCCAGGGACACGGGTCCTTCCACGGAGGAGGGGCCGAGACACCTGCCTGTGAGTGCCTGAGTGTGCCTGAGATCGCAGAGGTGAGCCCCGAGCGCCTCACATTCCACCAAAGCCTTTTCCAGTGGAACATGGATGGTCCCCACGAAGGGTCCCTGAGGATGTGTGGCTCTCCAGGACATCACCATCTCTGCAGCACCAGCAGCCAGTTAAGAGTAGCTGTTGGTGTGCTGCTGACCCTCAGTGCAGGCCAGCCTTCCCATCTGGGTCGGGTCCAGAGCCTGCTGCCGTTACCACGTGCTGCTGGTAGGGGTACTGCCGGAGTCCGACAGCTTTTCCAGTGTCCTTTGGATGAGATTTTTAAAGGTTTTTTTTTTTAACATTAAGATCATTAGAGTGTGAAGCAAAGCCGTGGCGCCTGGCATCTGCACTGTGAGTCCCTGGCGGTGGTCCTGGTCGCTAGAAGCCCGATCTCCTTTTGGTGGTCATGCCTGCTGCCTCCCGCAGGCCAGGATGCCCCACTCCACACAGACCGTGGCCTTGGCATGTGACATGCTTGGCGTCAGGGGCCCTGCAATGAAATGGCCTTTCCTCGGGGGCTCCTGGGCCGGGACGCAGGTGGAGCACGGTCCACCCCAGGAACCTTGTGGACCTCACAGATGAACCGGCCCACGGGGCCTCTCACCTTCCCTGAGGTGGAGCTTCCTGCCCGTGACTCATGCTGCTGCTTCCCCTGAACCTCACGAAGATAAGTCCTGTGTCCCTTGCCCAACAGGTGGTGACTTTATTTCCATGCAACTCTGTCCCTCAGCACCCACAGCACAGTTCCGCCTCCCTGTCCCCACACAGGGCTCACTCCCCGTCGTTCTGTGGCCCACAGCCAAATCCCCCAAAGCTCAGGCATCCCCACGTTGAGCACAGGCCATCCTGGCGCCATGGATATTCTTGGAATTGCCGTTCCACTCCTGGTGAACACTGGAGGCTTTAGAGCAGGTTTCTAGCACGCACAGGCAGGTGATTTCCAACATGTGCATGGTGCTGCTTTCCGAGATCAGGCCACGGTGCTGCTTTCTTCCCCAGCAGGCTCTGAGCCTCTGGGTGTCAGACACTTAATTTTGTTGCAGCTTCTTCTTTAGTCAGATGAGGGTGGGAACACCTTCCCCAGCCCCACCCTCAGGTCTCCCACGAGTCTGGCCCAGTGCTCTCGGCGGCCTCTTCACCCTCCGGGGCTCTCGAAGTCTCCCTCCTGCAGTTCTCTGTAACGCTTTCCCACTTGGAGGAGCTCACATGGAAAATGCAGCGATTTTTTTCCGAATTGCGCCCTCCTCATAAGCCGTCTTTGCTCCATGGTTACTTTCAGCCGCTTTGCAGGCTCCCTGCCCCACTGGACCCAGCTCCCCCCTGTCCCCCTGCTCCTGAGGCATGGAGTTTGGCCATCTCTGTGCCAGGACTTGGGCTGGGCTCAGCTCCCGGGAGGCACCGTAGGCAGCACACCACCCCGCGCTCACCCACGGGCATTGCTGAGTCTCAGCGGGCGTTGCCAGGCCAAACCTGCAGCCCCTCTTCCAGGACGTTCTGCCTCCCGGCACCTGCTGGGACCCTCAGGCTCAGCCCTGGGGATGCCTCCCCCACGGCTGCTGTGGCTTATGCCCCGCACGCCCCTGACTCACCTGGGGTTGTGGCAGCCGCGTCCCCTGCCACAGTGAGCCCCACACAGGGTGGTGTCTTCTCTCACGGGGAAGGTGCACGGGGACCATCAGCAGCGATTCTCTCCTCAGAGGAGAGGACAGGCTCGGCTCTCCACTGCTTCAGCTTCAAGGTTTTAAGACTTTAACTTGTCTTTGGTTCTCTTCCATGCGACAGCACTAGGGAAAGATTAAAAAGAGCTGCAGTGAGGACGCGCGGATCTCCACCCCGCACAACAAACAGCAGCATCTGCAGAGAAACACGCTCAGCCATGAACCAGCGGGGTCTGCCATTCAGGTAAAAACAGCTTCACCAGAAGCCAGAGTTTTAGTTTATGCAGTGAATGTTTACTTCCAGTGAAATGGTTTGAATTATGCTTGTCAAAAGAGATGTAATCTTACGGAAGTAAAAGAAGCCCTCGCTGAAAAAGGAAAGCCCCTCCTGAGTCAGATACAAGTTTTCCATTGCACTTCCAGTCTGGTCTTCTTTTGAAGAGTATACAATCCTTACTATTTTCTTTCTTTCTTTCTATTTCTTCTTTTTTTTGATTCAAAGTCTCACTCTGCCACCCAGGTTGGAGTGCAGTGGCACGATCTCGGCTCACTGCAACCTCCACCTCACGGGTTCAAGTGAGTCTCCTGCCTCAGCCTCCAGAGTAGCTGGGATTACAGGCTCCCACCACCACACCAGGCTAATTTTTTTTGAATTTTTAATAGAGGTGGGATTTCACCATGTTGGCCAGGCTGGTCTCAAACTCCTGACCTCAGGTGATCTGCCCACCTCTGCCTCCCAAAGTGCTGGGATTACCGGCGTGAGCCACCGTGCCCAGCCAAAATCATTAGTATTTTCATCATCAATTGCAGATAGTATTCGCTCTTAGAGTTCTTCTTTCTAATACATATTAAACAGAAGACTAAACCTAAAAACAAAACAAAACACAGGATTGGGATTATGAGCAAAAATCAGAAGGAAAAATACATTTTGTCCATGAAATGAATTGTTTCAAATGGCTGTGGTAGTAGTTCAACTTTCTAAGTCAAAATTCTTATTTTAATTAATCAAATTGTGAAACTAAAATCTTATTTTAATCAAAATTCTCAATTTTAACGTTAGATGGTAGGAAACGTTTCTCTGTGTTAGATCAAGTAGATCTGGCACAGCAGGTCCTCAGGTGAGAACAGCTCCTGTTAAACTACTAACAATTTCTAGAAAGGAAAGTTAGGAAAATTGTTATTCCATATAGCATATTTGGCAGTTCTCCAGGGTGAAATTGTAGCAGGATGTTTTTATACTTTTGGTTGAGAACATTGTTTTACCTTTTGTTTTAAACAATGTGACCAGCATAATTACTACCACAATAAAACATCTGTAAACAAGGTTAATCTCTTCTCTTTGTAAGTCAGAATTAGAGATATCCCCTCTGTAAATTACATTAGTGTATTTGGAATAGATCTATATAAAATTCATTTTCATTCTCTTCCAACTCAGTAAAATTAATAATTGAATAAGTTGCATAACTTTATCTATACTCCATATAAAATACTTTATTGTTTTGATATTCAAATGTTATTAATTTGTTATTAAAATGTTTTTCAAACATATGAGTTACTCCATTTTATATAAAAAGATAGACTGACTAGAAACAAAGAATACCTGTTTAAGTTTGATTATGCTCTTGTGATTTAGGAGGGTCTGATATGAGCAACATGGAGAAACCCCGCCACTACTGAAAATACAAAATTAGCCAGGCATGGTGGCTCATGCCTATAATCCCAGCTACTCGGGAGGCTGAGGCAGGAGAATGGCTTGAACCTGGGAGGCGGAGGTTGCAGTGAGCTGAGACCGCGCCATTGTACTCCAGCCTGGGCAACAAGAGTGAAACTCTGTCTCAAAAAAAAAAAGTGTCTGATATTAAATATTAAGCAGTAGTGTCCCAGTTCTGTCAGATCTTCACATGGAAGATCCTTGAGAGAATTTCAGGGGAGAAGAGGACTTTCCATGCAGGGCATCAGTTGCTTTGCTCCCAGAGTTCTCTGAAAGCATTCGTATTTCTTGTGCCTGGAATTTTATTATGTGCATTTACATGAAGTTGCTTTCACAGGCCCTCCTGTTTTCCACCTTGTGCTCGACATAACTGAGCTTCCAGAAGGCGGGTCTGGAGAGTAGATTAGGAGGGCGGTCCCGTTTCACAGGCAGTGATGAGGGGCTCTGAGGCTGACCTAGCATCGTCCGGAAGTAAACAGCAGACAGAAACGCTGCTGGCGCCCAGCTTCGCCCCACCGGCCGGTGAGCAGCCCTTCCTACGGAAATTGCTGAAATACTTGACTTTCTGTTTCTTAAATACTTTAAAGGCATAAAATCACATGTGCTGCATTTGAAAGTATAAATCCCAGCCAGGCACAGTGGTTCACGCCTGTAATCCCAGTGCTTTGGGAGGCTGAGGCGAATGGGTCACAAGGTCAGGAGTTTGAGAGCAGCCTGGCCAATATGGTGAAACCCCAACTCTACTAAAAATACAAAAATTAGCTGGGCATGGTGGCGGATATCTGCAATCCCAGTTATTCAGGAGGCTGAGGCAGGAGAATCACTTGAACCTGGGAAGTGGAGGTTGCAGTGAGCCGAGATCGGGCCACTGCACTCCAGTCTGGGTAACAGAGTGAGACTCCATCTCAAAAAAAAAAAAAAAAGTGAGTACAAATCCCGGATGTACTGAGTCATATTGAGTGAGCACTTCTGTAAGAGAGTCGAGGCACAGGGAGCAGGAAGACGTTTCCGCCTGGTGTGGACACGGCTGGGCGGAGGAGCTTTGGTTTTAAATCCATGCAGCTCACAACACATCCCGGCCCAGTGACAGTAACTGTGTGTGTGTGTTAATATTCTGTAGAGACATATTGAACTGTGATGATTAATAATATGGTTAATTTTACTAATTGTGTATATTCTTATTTTAGAGAAACTTAAGCAAGATATAAAGGCATTTTGTTCTTCTTCTCGGGCATTCTTAAGAGATCATCAGGATGAGTTTCAGGGCCGCGTTTTTGAATAGTGACTGCTGAGCAGAGAACGCCCCCGAGCAGCCAGACTCTGCGAGATGGGAGGGTCCTTTCGCCGAAGCCAGGCCAGTCCACGCTCAAGGAAAATGTCTGCAGTTCTAAGACGATGACTGGCTAGAATTTAAGTTTCCATTCCTTTTTCCTTTTAGCTGACACTGAATTCAACAGGGGAGAGTAAGTGCTGTGTAACTCAGCCACGTTTGCGCGCCCCGCCCCTCCCAGCTCACACCACAGCCCTGCTGGCTCGGAGAGCTCTGTTTTCTCTTGGTCACCACAGGGCACTTCCTTGGCCTCGACGGTCACTGCTGAATGGGCACCTGTGTCCATGATGGGCTTTCTGTGTCACAGTTACCTAGAATATGACGACATGAGGCTTTTTATCTCCATTCAGTTCTTTCCTCATTTCTAAGAATGCCACCGCATGTTGGCCACTCTTTCATTATAATGGATTTATTTGTTATCTTCAACTACTATGCTTGAAGCCTGTGGAAGAGGTCACTGGTGCTGCAGTTTTAAACTTGTCATCCAAATAGCACTGTCCGGCCAGGCCCAGTGGCTCATGCCCGTAATTCTAGCACTTTTGGAGGCAGAGGCAGGCAGATCACATGAGACCAGGAGTTCGAGACCAGCCTGGCCAACATGGTGAAACCCTGTCTCTACTAAAAATATAAAAATTAGCCAGATGTGATGGCATGCGGCTGTGATCTCAGCTACTTGGGAGGCTGAGGCAGGAGAATCCCCTGAACTCGGGAGGTAGAGGTTGCAGTGAACTCCAGCCTGGGTGACAGGGCAAGACTCAGCCTCAAAAAACAAACAAAAAAACCAGATATCGCTGTCCCAATGTTCACCTCATGCTCACAGCTTCTGCCCAGTGTTCAGTGTGTCCGGGGGGCAAAGAGATTATAATAAAGTTAGGAACGTGGTTAAGTGTCGTCTTGCTGTGATTCCAAGATAGGTATATGGAAAGGCGGGAGCCTGTCCCGATTTTCTGTGAGGCCACGTGATGTTTCATGGAAATAACTGCAGTTGCCTGGTTCTCTTCAGTGCTTGCTGCTCAGTAACTCTCCTGAGGCTGTGTTTGTAGGAGTGATAAGTGCACGCCTGTGTGGTTTTTTTGTTTTTTATTTTTTGGTGGGGACAGAGACTTGCTCTGTCACCCAGGCTGGAGTGCAGTGGTGCAATCTGAGCTCACTGCAACCTCCGCCTCCCGGGTTCAAGTGATTCTCCTGCCCCAGCCTCCCGAGTAACTAGGATTACGGGCATGTGCCTCTACGCCCGGCTAATTTCGTATTTTTAGTAGAGATGGGGTTTCACCATGTTGGCCAGGGTAGTCTCGAACTCCTGGCCTCAGGTGATCCACCCGCCTCAGCCTCCCAAAGTGCTGAGATTAGAGGCGTGAGTCATCACACCCGGCCACGCCTGTGTTCTTATAAGCCCTGTGCTCCAGGGAAGGGGACGATAATGTGATTTTGTGAAAAGCAGGGTACCTAAGCTTTGAAAACGTGCAGCTCAAAGGGAGGGGCAGGGAACAGCCAAGGCTTTCCTGCGGGGAGTGGGGAATGCTGACGCGTGAGGAGGCAGGGCCTGCTGAGACCCCACCCACAGGAACCACTGTGCAGTCCTGCCACACAGAGGGGTCCCAGGTGGCTCATTCGTGACCAGACGTCCACCTTAGGGACTTGGGGCCTCCTTACCTCACTTGCCCGGGGGCACAACTTCTCCCCTTCAGTTCCATTCTCCCCAGAGAGGAGCCTCAGGGACCTCAGGTGCCCAGGCAGCTCCTTCTGGCCACGCTGACGGGCGGGAAGGTGAGGATAGGCTGGGGCTGGGGCCGGACACAGTCAAGGCTCAGATGGCGGAGTGGCTGGGAGGGTCTCTGTCTCGGTGTGGGGAGCTTCCCGCCTTCTTACACCGGCATTCGTTCTGGATCGGATCACAGTGTTTCTTTCCAAAAGGGAGTGTGCGCGGTTCCTGTGAGGACAGCTTGGCATTAGGCCTTATGAGAACAGCATCTGTGCTAAGGGTGCTTTGTCCCTGGAGGTCCTTGGCCTGGGATAGAAAGCCCTGAGCCAGCCGCATCCTTCTGCTAAATGGCATGTGACACATGGAGGGGCCCCTGGCTGTCATAACTCGTACAGTCACGAGGCGTGCCCGGAAGCACGACACCGAGCTCCATGTCACCCTCACCCTGCCTCCATGGCAATGGCCAGTCTGAGTATTGAGGTGTCCAGGCTTGGCCACTGCCCCCACGCAGTGTCCACTCACCGCCACATCACAGCAGTGCCATCATAGTGGGACAGAGGCGGGCGTGGAGGCCCAGACCGCTGTGACAATCCACAGCAGCAGAGCCGGGTCCAGCGTCTCCTCCTCACCAAGGCCCCCGCAGGTGCTCTGGGGAGCAGGTCTCCTTGGCTGCTGTACAGATGATGGGGCCACATTCACAGGCTGATGGCGTTTCAGGCTGATGGTGGACAGGGAGACTGTGGGGCCAGGTTCCCATGTGAGTCTCTGGTCGTGGTGGGGATGGTGGACCCTGGGTCCAAAGTGGCCAGGAGCACATGCCACAGCACGCAGCAGGCCCTGACGGACTCCATGTTTTTAAAAATGTCTTCCATACTTAGAGGAAGGAACCTGACCTGCTGGACTCCAGGGATTCCCCTCCAGTAAAATGCCTCTGTCCCTTTGTCCTTTCAGCATGCCAGTCAAAGGTGATGCACCTGGAGTAGGCCTTGCAGGACGTCGGCGCACGTCACCAGCTGGAGAGGCAGAGGAGGAAGTTCCTGCACAACAGCCTGGTGTGAGCATGGGTGTCGGGGGAGACCCACAAGGAACACACAGAAGCCCCTCTCGGGAGGGTGCTGGGCAGGAAGGACAGCGGGGCAGCCTGGGCAGAGGGCAGAGGGGCAGAGCCACGGTGGCTGTGACTGGTCCCCTTAACCCAGGAGGCGATGGCAACTGGAGGCAGAGTGAGGGTGCCACAGGCTGATTTAGGCTTTTGGGGGTCACTCTGGCTGCTCTGCCGGGAGGCCACGACGGGGAGCAGGGGGATGATTGTGGTGTCATGGGCCAGCGACTTGGGCCATGTTGGTGGCGATGCCAGAAGTGGGACTGGCCACCGTGAGGCACAGGGAAAGGTGCTGTGTGGGTAGTGGGGGCGGGGGCGGGGGAATCTGCAGAGATGGGGACCCTCTCAGGAAAAGCAGGTATTCTGCAGTAACTGGAGGCGCCAGCGGAGATGGCTCTGCCCCAGGTCACCAGCACCTTCCGGCCACGTCTCTCCCGCTTGTTAACAAGACCTCAAGGCTCTCATGCCTTCTTTGTCGAAGGTGTGAGACCTGCGATTCCATGAAATGTAACGTAAAGTCTCGGGGTTCGATTTTACAACACGGGGATGCCAAAGGGGATGACTGAGTGGGTAGACTTCGCTTCTGGGAGGGTTGGTTTTGTTGGCTGCACTCTGGCCAGTCTCCCCGAGTTCCACCTGCCCGGGGCCTGACTCTCTCTTGGCCGTGCTGAGGTCTCCCTGCAGCTGTTAGATGTGTCCAAGAATAATTCTCATTTTAAGCGTCTGCTTACATAGTTCCGTGCTCCAAACACTGATATAAGAGAATGTTTGTTGAGTGCTTCCTGTGTACCAGATACTTTTGAAAGCATTGTGGTGTATTTTCTTATTTAATCTTCACGATAGCATCACCTATCGGACGGGTCTGCAGTGTGTGGCCCGTGGAACGTGCAGGCAGAGGCTGACCCCAGCTTCTGTGGGTCACAGAGACCAGACCCAGGCTGTAAATGGTTGGCCTGCGACATGCAGAAATGCAGAAGGAGCTGCTCAGCACCACAGGGTGAATAAACTTGCCGTGAATCCAAGACAAGATTTCAGAACAGATTTTGCAAGTTTCTGAGCACGTACAGGGAAGACAGTTGCTTGCTGGAAGACAGTGGGGTTTTTGAGAATAAAGAGATTCTTGTGCCAGGTGCGGTGGCTCACGCCTTTAATCCCAGCACTTTGGGAGGCCGAGGTGGGCAGATCAGAGGTCAAGAGATCAAGACCATCCTGGCCAACATGGTGAAACCCGTCTCTACTAAAAATACAAAAAATAGCTGGGCATGGTGTCATGTGCCTGTGGTCCCAGCTACTCGGGAGGCTGAGGCAGAAGAACCACTTGAACCCAGGAGACAGAGGTTGCAGTGAGCCGAGATTGCGCCACTGCACTCCAGCCTGCTGACAGAGCAAGACTCCGTCTCAAAAATAAAAAAAATAAAAAAAAAAGAGATTCTCATTCCTTTTTCAGGCCTTAAGTCAAGGAAGTATGACAGGTACCAAATTTCCAAAATTCCCCCTAAAATGCCTAAAAGGTTGATCACAGGATGCCATTCGAAGAGGTTTCCTTTGGTACCTGTTACCAAGTGATATAGCCCTTTGCCAAGTGAATACATCTGTTAAGTATGAATCCATAGGTTTAAAGTAACTATTCACAGCTGGGCGCGGTGGCTCATGCCTATAATCCTAACACTTTGGGAGGCCAAGGTGGGTGGATCGCCTGAGGTCAGGAGTTCAAGACCAGCCTGGCCAACATGGTGAAACCCTGTCTCTACTAAAAATACCAAAATTAGCTGGGTGTGGTGGCACATGCCTGTAGTCCCAGCTACTCAGAAGGCTGAGGCAGGAGACTCACTTGAACCAGGGAGGCGGAGGTTGCAGTAAGCTGAGATTGCGTCACTGTACTCCAGCCTGGGCAACAGAGCAAGACTCTGTCTCGATAACTAACTAACTAAATAAAATAACTGTCCACTACGCTGCAGGAGTCTTTTGAAGTGGAGACGGGCGCTGCAGACCTCACGGCCGCGTCTCAGGAGCTGGTGCTCAGGCATACTCAGCAGTGCAGTGCAGTCTCAGTGCACCTGTGTTGACGTGCAAACCTTTTATCATTGTAGGAGCTGAGAGGAAATCTGAGTTCACTGCCAGATTCATCGTCTGTTGCCTTTTGATAGTGAATCCGATGATCCAGTTTTGCAAGCAGGTAAGTTGCTTAGGACAGTGTGTGTATGCCTGTGTGCTCAGGGAGAAGGCAGAGGATGGCACCGTTTTAAGTGGCATCTACTGTCTTACCCCCGGTCCCACAGCAGGGCATTCTTGAGTGTGGGTGGGAGCTCCTTTTAGGGACAGTGCTGTCTGCTCACAGCGGACAGTTAGCGGCCCTCTGGAACATGGCCTGAACATGGCCAAACTGCTTCAGCATGCCTGCTGTGCGTGGGAGCGGCTCTGCGCCCCAGAGGGCGTCCGTCTTGTCGTCTTGTCGTGGTTTGCCTCCGCGGGCTCCAACCGAAAAGGGACAGGCTCTGACTGGTCCTTTCCCTTTATGTCACTGCATCAAAAAGGAAGCCCCCTTCTTTATTTACCCCAAAGACCACCCACTCAGCTGTGCAGGAAGTCAGTAACACTCAACTGATACTTTTGACAGAGAAAGTTTTGATGGTGTGAATGCATAAAGCAAAACTAGCTGAAGTTCATTTACGTACTAGCAGGCTTACTTGAAAACCATACTCAATATGACCCTTCCCCATGAATCAGTCCCCTGGAAATCCCCACTCCCATGGCTGACCACACACAGCGCCCCTCCACTCCCATGGCTGACCACACCTGGCCCCCCCCACTCCCATCGCTGACCACACCCGGCCCCCCCACTCCCATAGCTGGCCACACTCAGCACTCCCCACACTCATGGCTGGCCACACCTGTCGCTACCACCACTCCAAGGGGCTGTGCTTCCCAGCGTCCCTGCTGCCGTGGGGTTGGCCGTATCCACCGGTGTGTGGGGGTCACTCGGCACCCGCTCCTGACTCTGTAGCTTCGCTCAGGCTGTTTTGAGTCTTACCCGCGTTTGTGTCCTGCAGTTTAGCACTTAGCTAGAGAAGGTCTGGAGAAAGCACTTGGCGGGTCCCACAGTGTGAAACAATTCAGGTCTTTTGACAGTCATTGAAGCCTTTTCTTTTCGAAGGTTTCAGACTTGGTTGTGCTGGCCCTAGTGCTTTCTGCACGTTCTTGACTGGTGGCCGCCATGAGTCACCTGTCAAGGGACAGGAAACTTGGCCCGTGGAGTGTGTCAGTGTGGTGTAGACAGGCTGTGCGACCCTCATTCAAAGCAGGTGGGGCCAGAGAAGCATTTCTGATTTTGAATCTTCTCGTATTTTCAAATGTTCATGTTTGGTATGTCCCCGTTCAGCAAGATAATCCAGTGAGCGTTTTCTTTGAGCCTCATCTCCGTGCTCAAAACGTTTTGGATTTCGGAGCATTTGGGATTTCAGATGCTTGGTTGAGGGATACTCAGCTTTCCTGAACTTGCCTTTGACACGGCCCCTCCCGACGGCTTTCGGCTCTTGTCACACCACCAGCCTCCCTGTGAGCCGCCCACCACAGCAGGCCAATACGTGCAAATGAATGCAAATGAGATCCCGTCAGAAATGGGGTTGCAGCTGCACCAGCCTCATCTGGGGTGTGTGGCCTCACCAGGTGAGAGAGATGGGCAGCTGGAAGGTTTCCACAGTCACAGAAGCCCTCCCTATTGGACGGTGCTGCTCTGGGCTGCTCAGCTTCTCGGAGGTTCCTCAGAGGCCCCAGAAACTTGTTGCTTCTGTTCACCGGCTTTTTTTTTTGAAACCTGTTGCATTGTTTTAGATTGATGATGGTTTGCAGATGCCTGATTTCCTGAAGGGTAGAGCTTGACGAGCTTGTCTTGTAGATCGTGGCCCCCAACCTTTGTGGCACTAGGGACCAGCTTCATGGAAGACAGTGTGTCCATGGACTGGCGGGCCGGGGCGGGGATGGTGTCAGGATGGTCCAACTGCATGACAGTCATTGCACCCTTTATTCCTACTGTGATCACACTGTAATATACAACGAAACAATAATACAGTTCGCCACCATGCGGACTCAGTGGGAGCCCTGAGCTTGCTTTCCTGCAACGAAAGGGTCCCATCTGGGGGTGAAGGGGGACAGTGACAGATCATCAGGCATTAGAGTCTCATGAGGAGTGGGCAGCGTGGATCCCTCGCCCGCACAGTTCACAGTAGGGTTTGTGCTCCTGAGAATCTAATGCCGCTGCTGGTTTGACAGGAGGTGGACTCAGGCGGTGATGATGGGAAGCCACTGTGAATACAGAGAAGCTTTGCTCGTTGCTCACTGCTCACCTTCTGCTGCGCAGCCTGGTTTCTTACAGGCCTCTGTGGTCAGGGGTTTGGGCCCCACGTTCCAAATCACCACCGCTCTGAATTGCATGTAAAGGAGATCTTTAAGCATGGATTGCGGAGCGTGGCTGACTCTCCATGCAAGGCAGACAGGGAGGATGAAAACGAGAAATAAAGAACAGGGCAATCAGAGGAAAAATTTCCAGAGAAAATAAAAGGGGTGGGGAAGACACGAAAAGAAATAAGAAGTAGAGAGTGAAGAACATAAAAAGGATAAGGTCAAAAAAAACGACAAGCGGAGTTTTAGAAAAGGATGGAAGGGTGGATCCATGCACATAGGAAGAGGTCGGGAAGGGGAGCCACGCCAGGGAGGGAAGGGGAGCCACGCCAGGGAGGGAAGGGGAGCCACGCCAGGGAGGGAAGGGGAGCCACGCCAGGGAGGGAAGGGGAACCACGCCAGGGAGGGAAGGGGAACCACGCCAGGGTCCACACCAGGGCGGAGACAGAGATGATGGTGGGGAGATGCATGGGTGTTTTAGAGAATGCAGGACGCAGGCAGAGATGACGGCGGAGAGATGCATGGGTGTTTTAGGGAGAGCAGGACGCAGGCAGAGATGACAGCGGAGAGACGCAGGGGTGTTTTAGAGTCTGAACGTTAGGAAATCAGAAAGCCTTTCCTCTTGATGTGTATTTTCAATGATGTTTTCTTCCTTCAGCCCCACCTCTGGAGCAGTGGCCCATGCTGCTGAGGACATGAGAATGCAGTTCTGGCAAGTTGTGTTCGGGGCACAGCTTCCTTCATGGTGGGCTCCACAGTCCCCACAGATCCCTACAGAGAGAAACTCATAGACTGAATAGAACATAATTTATTTTAGGCTTTTTTTTTTTTTTTTTTTTTTTGGTGACAGAATCCCACTCTGTCACCCAGGCTGGAGTGCAATGGAGTGATCTCGGCTCACTGCAACCTCTGCCTCCCAGGTTCTAGCGATTCTCTTTAGGCTTTCTTAATTAAGAAGAATTGTTTTTGTCCCTTGATTTCTTTTGAAACATGAAATTAATCAAGCATTTGACATGCTTTCCTCTTGGGAAACCAGCTCCTGACCTGTAGTTCTATGTGAGGAAGTGACTTCACTTCCATTTATTTTCCAGCCCAAATGATCAATCAGTGCGAATATGAACAAGTTCTAAAATTTAGAGCACCAAGAAAAGAGAGATAAATATAAAATCGGTGATGTCGAGTATGAACTTTGTGATTCTAAACTGGAATCAGGCATGGTCGTTTCTCCTGAAAGCCTCCGTGCTTTTTAGTTTTACCCATGAGAACTCTGAGGAGTCACAGGGAGCCACCCAGCACCCCGGCTGGGGTCGCCGAGTACCAGGCTCACTCTGGAGAAACGCTCAGCAGACAACCGGCGTCTGGGCCAGGAGAGGAGGTGGGTGGGAGGATCGTGGGGCGCTTGCCAATCTGGGACAGCGAGGGAGGCCGCAGGATGGTGGGCTTGTCCCAGAACGTGGAGCCCGTTGCAGGCGCTCCCTCCACGCAGGAAGGAAGCAGACTGAAATACAGCATTATCTTTACAATCTTGAGTTCATAATAATGATTTTTTTTAAAAAAAAGACCTCGCATTACCGTTTTGGGTGCTGGAACATCAACTCATTATTCTAAAAAGTGGTGAAAAAAGAAAAACAGTTGTGAGGTCCTTCCTGGAGGAAACATGCTCAGGGCAGGTTTGTGCTTTTGAGGGAACAGGAGATTCTAGGCAATAAGCTCAGCAGATGACAAAACTGGAAAGCCATCATTTGAAACCCCTAATGAAAGAATGACTCCAGGCTCCTTGGAGGATGATGGTCGGGGGTTGGTGGGATCTTCATGATGGGGGTTCAGGAGCCGCCTCAAACTCCCTAAGCACTCTCGGCTTCCCTGAGGTTGGGGTGCAGAGACGTGGTGTTCCTTGTTGGGTGCGGCGGGCGGAACACCGCGGGACTGATGAAGCACTTCTTGAGGACGATCATTTTACAGTAGAGAAAACCATCTGCCAAAGCCAGAATGAGGACGTTTCCCAGAGCAGACTGCCCGGTTTCTCTAATAATGACTTTGTTTTAAGGGAGGGGGGACACAGTAGAATGAGATGAGTCAGCCCCCGTGAATCCTGGTTTGGAGCCTGGCATTATTGGGACACTGGGGGAGTCCGAATGTGTCCTGAGTGTGTGGGGGTCGAACCTTCTCCTCTGCCCTCCTAGGGTCCCTGACGGGGCCTGAGCATGAAACTGGCCTCAGGCAGGTTGATGGGAAGAACATGGACTCTTATGTGAGGTCTGCCTGACACAAAGCCTCCCGGGAAATGAGAACTGAGGGGGTGGCACAGCCTGCACGCTGCCATGCGGGGCTGGGCAGAGGCCACTGTGGACAAGCCACCAAATGAGATGGGAGATGGAGGGAAGGCAAGGGCTGTGTTAATAGACGTGTCTGTGCAGAGCCGCCCAGCTTCGACCCTCTGTTAGTCAGCGTTCTCTAGAGGGACAGAAATAGTGAAATAGAGATGTACATATAAAGGAGAGTTTATTAGGTACTAACTCACACAATCACAAAGTCTCACAATAGCTGTCTGCAGGCTGAGGAGCAAGAAGAGCCAGTCCAAGTTCCAGAACTGAAAAACTTGGAGTGCGATGTTCAAGGGCAGGAAGCCTCCAGCGTGGGAGAAGGCCTGTCTCTTTTCACATTCTCCTGCAGGCTTTATATTTAGCTGTCAGCTGATTACATGGTGCCCACCCTGAGTACGGGTGGGCCTGCTTTTCCCAGCCACTGGCTCTAATGTTCATTTTCTTTGGCAACAGCCTTACAGACACACCCAGGACCAATACTTTGTATTTTTTAATCTGACAATCAAGTTGACACTCCTCAGTATTACCCATCACAGACCCCATCTACTGATGAGAATGGGCTTTACCCCTGGCCCAGCGAGGGGGCTCTCATGGGAAGGGTCAGGTCCTGTTTTCAGTGCGGGAGGAAGAGGGGAAACCTGAGCACTCTGCGTCTTGAACCTTTAAGTAGATGATCCTGATGCCAAAGTGGCGTACTTTAGGGTGACATATTCTGCCACACTCCATGTGACATTAATTTGATAAGGTGTGGTGAATGGCGTGGTGATTGTATTTTATAATTTTTTTTTAGAGATGGGGGAAGATGGGAGGGTCTCACTGTTGCCCAGGCTAGTCCTGAACTCCTGGCTTACGTGATCTTCCTGCCTTGGCCTCCCAAAGTGCTAGGATTACAGATGTCAGCCACCGCACCTGGCCATTGTGCTTTAAAAATGTTCTTATCACTTAAAAATGCAGACTATAGTACTTATAGATAAAATGATCAGTTTTCTGGTTTTGAATGTAAAGTATGCTGAGGAACAGGAGGTGGGTTGTGCAGGAGTATGTGTAAAACAAGATTGACTGAATGTGAACCGCCTTCAGTACAGGACGATTGCACCTGAGGACGCTATGCCATTTCCTCCAATTCTGGGTATGTTAAAAAGTCCCCAGTGAGAACAGTTAAAAAATACTGGGCTTCTCCTTCATTTAGCTTATTACGGTTATCACAAAATGAATTTTAAAAGCATATGAAATGCTAAACCCTTCACTAAGATTGGTCATTTTGAATTAACATGAAAGCCTCAGGTCACGTAGGTCACACTGGCCTTTTGGAAGATGATTTTGTGTCACACTGATTACCATATGTCGCTTTGCTCTTCTACGAGGCCTGTCACCTGAATCAGTCTGATGATGGTTACCTATTGTAAACTTTAGAAACTCTTTTTTTAAAAGTAGTTTTAGTTAATGGATTGATAGCTTTATATTTTTAAAAGAGGCCAAGAAAAATGTTAAAGCTGTATCTTAAAATTGCTCTTACTATGTCCCTGGGGGAAAAAA